TTATCTTTTAAATACATAATTAAATCCTATATGCATGCAACATGTATTTTATTTTATTTTTTTTCAATTTATTATGACAAAGTAAAAATTTACGGATGTAACACAAATATTTAATTCCACGCAAATTCAAGAATTACACAGTAAAAGAAATTTATTTTATTTTTTGATTTATTTTGGAGTAGTTTTCAAAAGGCAAAAATCACGTGCTCACACAAGGTTAGAAAAGAGACTTACCTCATTTCGAGCCTACTTCCAACTCAAGAATGCGTCCAAACTCTCAAACCGGAGCCGCACAATTCGAAACTATTCAAATAGTGTAAAAATACATCATTATAGGCTTACAAATTCATATTCTAGCTATTAAAGAAATTATCCAACCCCAAGGGCAAGGTTCTTATTTCAACCCCGGGCCCACGTGCCCGGATTTCGGAAATTTTCGAAGGAAGTTGTTACCCATTACCTAAGGATCAAGAATATATGATCTTTACTTTATTTTATAATAAATTTTGTGATTCAATATTGTTTTTATCAAAACCTTAGGTTTTACTCTAATTCCATGATTTTCACTAATCTTTACATGTTAATCTACCCAAAATCCAAGTATTTAGCTCACATATAGTAGGAATTACTTACCTCTAAGAGCTTGATGAAAATCCACTCTCAAGAGCTCCAAAATTGCCCAACCATTGAGTGGAAATGAGCCAAAAATGGCTAACACCAATAATAAATGAAGGTCACCGCCTTCAGTGACTTCCATATCTGCAGTCCTGGGCCGCACCTGCGCCCTCTGCATATGCGGAAAAGAATCCGCTTCTGCGGAAATTCCACTGGCCGGCTGGGTCGCTTTTGCTGGAAGTAAACCGCTTCTGCAGGCTCGCTTCTGCGGAGGGTAGGCCGCTTCTGCGGCTCCAGGGCTGGCCACCTATGGACGTATCTGCGATGGCCCAGCCGCTTCTGCGGGCTCGCACCTGTGGCTACCCCACCGCAGGTGCGGTTATGATAGAAGCCTGAAGCTTCAGCTCTTTCCCACATTTCCAACTAAGTTCGAGCCTCATCTGATTGACGCTTGGGGACTCCGGGGCCCTGCCTGAACATACCTACAAGTTTGAAAAGATAAAATGGACTCGCTTGAACACTCGGAACGCCCGAAACAACACTAAATCTAAGAATCACCCCCTAAAATCAATTGAATCAAACTTATGAATTTCAAGTCCTTCAATATACTTCTAGTGTGACCAAATACACTTATACCACTTGGATTGATACCAAATTTACCGTGTAAGTCTTAGATGACATTATGGATCTATTCCCGATCTCGGAATTCCGTTCGAGCCTCAATAACACAAAACCCCGCTCCAAACCAAATTTAAAGAACTTCAAAATCCTTAAGGAATCAACTTTTACTATTAGGTGCTAAAATGCTACCAGTTCATCCAAAACCCGATCTGGACATACGCCCAAGTCCGAAATTATCATATGAACCTGTTGGAACCTTCAAATCTGGATTCCAAGGTCGTTTACTCAAAATGTTGACTAAAGTAAAACTTGTGCTTTTAAGCCAACCTTAAGGAACCAAGTGTTCCGATTTCAACCCAAACTCTTCCAAATCTCGAACCAACCATCCTCGGTAGTTATAAATCAGTTAAAGCAAGTACGGGAAGTCTTATTCAAGGGAACAGGGTTCTAGAAAGCAAAACGACCTATCAGATCGTTACATTATCCACCTCTTAAACAAAGGTTCGTCCTCGAACGGGTTTAGATTCATACCTGAAGTGCTAAATAAGTGTTGATATCTGCTCTGCATGTCCTTCTCGGACTGCCAGGTCGCCTCCTTGACTGGTTGGCTCCTCCACTAGACCTTTACCGCAGAAATCCTCTTGGATCTCAACTGGCGATCCTGTCTATCAACAATGGCAACTAGCTCCTCCTCATAACCCAAGCTCTCGTCTAGCTGAATAGTACTGAAGTCTAACATATGAGACAAGTCGGCGTGATACCTCCAAAGTATAGACACGTGAAAAAATAGATGAACTCCCGATAAGCTGGGGGGTAAAGCAAGCTCATAAGCAACTTTTCCAACTCGCATCAACACCTCAAACGGGCCGATAAACCTTGGGTTCAACTTTCCCTTCTTCCCGAATCTCATAATACCCTTCATCAGCGATACTTTCAAGAGATCCTTCTCGTCAACCATGAATGATACATCACACGCCTTCTGATAAGCACAACTCTTCTGTCTGGACTGAGCTATGCGAAGCCTTTCTTGAATCAACTTTACCTTTTCGAAGGCATCTTTCACCAAATCTGTACCGTACAACTTAGCCTCACCAGGATCAAACCACCCGATGGGAGAACGACATCACTGACCATATAAAGCCTCAAATGGAGCCATCTCGATGTTGGACTAATAACTGTTGTTGTAAGCAAACTCTGCCAAAGCAAGAACTGATCCCACTGCCCTCCAAAGTCAATCACACATGCTCTAATCATGCCCTCCAGAATCTGAACTATCCGCTCCGACTGCCCGTCGATCTGTGGGTGGAATGCTGTGCTGAGCTCTACCCAGGTCCCCAACTCACTCTGCATAGCTCTCCAAAAATGGAAAGTGAGCTGAGGGCCTCTATTTGATATGATGGAAACAGGCACACCGTGCAACCGAACTATCTCCCAAATGTATATCTGAGCCAACCTCTCTGAAGTATAAGTAGTCATAACCGGAATAAAGTGTGCCGACTTGGTCAACCTGTCAACAATAACCCAAAATGCATCATACTTCCACAATGTCTGTGGCAACCTAACTACGAAGTCCATAGTAATGCACTCCCACTTCCACTCAAGTATCGGCATCTGCTGAAGTAGGACACCTGGACTCTGGTGCTCATACTTATCCTGATGGCAATTCAAGCACCTCGCCACATACTCAACCATATCTTTCTTCATCCGCTGCCACCATTAATGCTGCCTCAAGTCACGGTACATCTTCGTAGCACCTGGATGAATCGAATACCGTGAGCTGTGTGCCTCCTTTAGAATCCTCTCCCTCAAGCCGCCGACACTAGGAACACATAGGCGACCCTGGAGTCGTAGAACACCATCCTCGCCAATAGAAACCTCCTTGGCACTACCTTGTAGCACTGTCTCTCTGAGAACTGCCAAATACAAATCATCGAACTGTCGAGCCTTGATCTGCCGCAATAGTGAAGACTGAGCAACAACACACGTAAGGACTTGGCTGGGCTCTAAAATATCCAACCTCACAAGTCTGTTAGCCAAGGACTGAATGTCTAAAACTAGTGGCCTCTCCCCTTCTGGTATGAATGCCAAGCTACCCATACTCTCTGCTTTCCTACTCAAGGCATCTACAACCATATTTGCCTTGACCAGATGATAAAGAATGGTGATATCATAATCCTTTAGTAATTCAAGCCATCTACATTGCCTCAAATTGAGATCCCTTTGCTTGAATAAATGTTGCAAGCTACGATGATCAGTATAAACCTCACATGACACCCCATACAGATAATACCTCCATATCTTAAGAGCATGAATAATCATTGTTAACTCTAGGTTGTGCACATGGTAATTCTTCTCATGAATATTCAGCTGACGTGAAGCATATGCAATAACTCGCCCCTCTTGTATCAATAAACATCCCAAGCCAACGCATGAAGCGTCGCAATATACCGTGTACATCCCCGAACCGGAAGGCAACACAAGAACCGGTGATGTAGTCAAGGACGTCTTGAGCCTTTGAAAGCTCGCCTCACAATCATTGGACCAACATAAAGGAGCACCCTTCTGGGTCAATCTAGTCAGAGGTGATTCAATGGATGAAAAGCCCTACACAAATCAACGGTAGTAACCTGCTAACCCCAGGAAACTCTTGATCTCAGTCACGAAAGTAGGACGTGGCCAACTCTGAACTGACTTAATCTTCTTAGGATCTATTTTAATCCCCTCTCCTTATACAATATGCCCCAAGAATGCTACTGACTCTAGACAAAACTCGCACTTGGAGAACTTAGCATATAGCTTCTGCTCTCGCAAGGTCTGAAGCATTACTCTCAAATGTTGCTCGTGCTCCCCCAGGCTATGGGAGTATATCAAGATGTCATCAATGAAGACAATAACAAAGGAATCAATATAAGGCCTAAAAACCTTGTTAATCAAGTCCATAAACTTTGCTGGAGCATTAGTCAAGCCAAAGGACATCACCAGAAACTCATAATGGCCATATCTAGTACGGAAAGCAGTCTTCGGGACATCTGAGTCCTGAATCTTTTGCTGATGATACCCGTCGATCTTAGAGAACACCCTAGCACACTGCAACTGGTTGAACATATCATCAATGCGTGGCAACGGGTACTTGTTTTTGATAGTATCCTTATTAAACTGGCGGTAATCAATGCACATCCGTATAGTCTCATCCTTCTTCTTCACTAATAGCATTAGTGCACCCCAAGGTGATACACTAGGTCTCACAAACCCCTTTGCCAATAGCTCCTCAAGCTATTCCTTCAATTCTTTCAACTCTTTCGGTGTCATACGGTACGGTGGGATAGATATAAGCTGGTACCTGGAGCCAAATCAATATAGAAATCAATGTCACGATCCGGCGGCATGCCTGGAAGGTTAGAAGGAAACACATCGGCAAACTCCCAGACTTCTAGCATTGAATAAATCGTCGGAGACTCTGCGGTGGTGTCCCGAACATATGCTAGATACACCAAACAACCCTTCTCGACCAGATATCGAGCCTTTAGAAAAAATATAACCCGACTGGATACACTAATAGAGGAACCCTTCCACTCCAATTTTGGCAACTTTGGCATCGCTAAAGTAACAGTCTTGGAATGACAATCAAGAATGGTGTGATATGGAGATAACCAATCCATGCCTAGGATGACCTCAAAGTTGATCATATTAAGTAACAGAAGGTCTGGTCTAGTATCGAAACCATAGAATGTAACCACACAGGACCGGTAGATCCGATCCACAACCACAAAATTTCCCACAAGAGTGGATACATAAACATGAGTACCTAAAGACTCATGAGGGATATCCAGGAAATGAGCAAATAGATATGACACATATGAATATATAGACCCTAAATCAAATAATACCGAAGCATCCCTACCGCATACAAAAATAATACCTGTGATTACAGCATCTGAGGCCACTACATCTGGTCTGGCCGGAAAAGCATAAAATCTAGATGGAGCGCCTGCTGTATGAACGGTAGCTGGCTGAACTCCCCCTGCCTGGCCTCTACCTCTAGGACAATCCTTACCAACCTGTCCCTCACCTCTGGGCGGTCAGACAGCTGGTGCAGCAATTATAGGCTGATGACCCTACTGTACTACCTTGCCCCAAAATCTGGGGCAGGTCCTCTTATGTGACTCGGATCTCCATACTCATAACAACCCCACAGTGCCATAGACTGTTATCCTGAAGCATGATCGTGATGGCCCGAATATCCACTAGAAGAACCCTGATGTCCAGAATACCCTCCAAAAGAACCCTGAATAGTTGGTGGACGGTAAGAACTCTCCAGTATCACACTAAAATAAGGCCTCACTGGAGCACCTCGAGGAGGTGGTGGTGGTGCTGAAGCTCGCCCCTCCCAAACTGACCTCTGCCCCTATCTGGGGCACCTCTAAACTCTCTAGATTATCGGGCCCTCTTGTCCTGCTGAAACTGCTCTCTGCTCCTCTGACGGTAACCCTCAATCCTCCGTGTAATCTCTACCACTAGCTGATACTTAGTCCCCATCTCAACCTCTCGGGCCATGCTAGCTCGAATACCGGGGTGTAACCCTGCAACAAATCTCCACACTCTTTCTGCATCCGTAGGAAGTATCATGAGTGCATGGCAAGACAACTCAGAGAATCTCTTCTCATAGTCTGTCACAGACATTTGACCCTGCTCGAGCTGCTCAAACTGACACCACAACTCTTCCCTCTGAGAGGGTAGAATATACATGTCCAATAGAAGCATTGTAAACTGATCCTAAGTCATGGGAGGAGAACCTGCTGGTCTGCTAAGAAGGTAAGACTACCACTATCTACGGACCCTGTCCTCTAACTGGAAGGCGGTGAAATCCACTCTATGGGACTCCAATATCCTCATGTTGTGTAGTATATCTCTACACCTGTCAATAAAATCCTAGGCATCCTCATTACGCTCACCTCCGAAGATAGGAGGGTTTAGCCTAGTCCATCTGTCCAATAATTTCTGTGAATCGCCGTCCACATCTTGTCTGGGCTCAGGTGCCACTACTACAACTGGTTGGGCACCGCTCGTGGGTAATGTACCTGGAGTTTGATATACGACAGCTGCGCACCAAGGACCCAGAGAAGTATGGATTTGTGCTCCCCTTCCTACCTGAGATATGGATGTGTCTACTGAAAATAAACTAGCCTGAGTCATCGAGTCCAAGAACAGCAACATACGGCCCATGACCTCCTAGAAGCCCGATTGGTGTCACGACCTAAATCCCATATTAGGCCAAGATGGCGCCCAACACCATTGTTAGGCAAACCAACACTGATCAAATAGTAAATCCTCAGTTATGTAGTTAGTGCGTGATAACTTCCATTATAGATTTAAGAAAGTTCATAGTTTTAAAAACTTAAAGATATTTAAATGAAAGAAATAATGCGAATCTAAATCATGAATACAAGCCAAAACATCATAATTCTACTAATGTGTGTGCCATGACCTGGTGTCACAAGTGTGTGGAAAATCTAGTAGAATATACAAAACCATACTATCCTACTATATAGAAGAGAAATAGACAGGAACATAAAGACAAAAGAGAGACTCCAGCTGCTGCAGATCGGCTAGAAAGGGTAGCTTACCAGAAAGTCTCAAGCTGAGATGTCCACTCTATGCGCCTGACTGATGGCTAGATGCACCTGCCTCAAAACCTGTACAATCAAGTATAGAACCGTAGCATGAGTACATAAAAATATGTACCCAGTAAGTATCTCGCCTAACCTCGCAGAAGTAGTGACGAGGGATCGATTCCGACACTTACTAGGCCAGCAAAAATAATAATTTAAAGTTCAATATATTTAATTCACAGTGTATGTATCTGATGACCTAAAAGGTCATCTCTTGTTTTAGAAGTCAAATCTGTGTTCCGAGGACTTACAAACCTCCTTTTGTCTCTCCTCGATTTGCGCATGGAGTCCAGGCGTGTATTCGAAAAGCCTTTATGTGAAAATTTGAGAAAAATGCTAAATTTTGCCTTTAGAATGGAATTAAGTTGACTTTGGTCAACATTTTGGGTAAACGGACCCAGACCCGTATTTCGATGGTCCCGTAGGGTCCCTAGTAAATATGGGACTTGGGTGTATGCCCAGAATCAAATTCCAAGGTCCCTTGCCCGAGAGATGAATTTTTGAAGAAAATTATTTGCTGGAAAATGTAAGCATTTTTAGAATGAAATTGTGAGTAATCTCGTTGGTATCGGGCCCGTATTTTTATTTTGGATCCCGGTACGGGTTTGATATAGTATTTAAGTCGTAACTATGAAATTTGGTAAAAAATGGAAGAGATTTGATAAAGATCAGACCCTTGGTTAAGAAAATAGAAATTTGAACTATCTTGTGAAATTCATGAGTTTTGGTGTTAAATTCGTTGTGTAAGATGTTATTTTTGGGATTTGATCACACAAACAAGTTCGTAAGATATTTTTGTGTAATATCTAGTGTTGGCCTCTGATCTCACTATTGCGAGAATAGAGTTTCACAATTGCGAGGCCCGTTAGTGTGGCAATTGCGAGTAACTCATCGCAATTGCAAAGAGTAGCTGGGCTAACAGTCTTCGCAATTGCGAAGTAAAAGCTGGGAGGGGACTGGTCGCAAATACGATCTTTTAGCTGCATTTGCGGAGGATGAGGTTCGCAATCGCGAACTCCCTTCGCATTTGCTAAGGATGCAGAAGTGTAAGGGTGTTCGCAATTGCGATGCCTTTCTCGCATTTGTAAGCTTCGCAAATGCGAAGCTCCAGTCGTAATTGCGACATCTGCAGTTGATCTGTTTGGACTTAGACGAGATTTTTACCTATTTTTCAATTCTCTCAAACTCTAAACCTCCCTAGGAAATTTTTCAATGACCCAAACTTTTCCAAATCATAGGTAAGTGAATTCTAACTCAACTCTTTCAATCTATCTCATCTTTTTGCAAGCTTTCATCACAAAATCTAGGGATTTTCATGGGAAATTGGGTGTTTTTGGGTGAAATTTGGAAATTTCGAAATTTGAAATTAGACCTCAAATTAAGGTAGTATTCCAAACAATAGCATATTCGGGCTCGGGGATGAATGGGTTTTGGTCCGAACTTCAAGTTTTGATCAAGCGGGCCTGAGGTCGATTTTTGACTTTTTGAAAAAAATGGTAGAATACCTATAATTATGCATTGGAGTTGAGTTATTTAGCCTTTATTGATGTTACTGAATTAATTAACACTAGATACGAGTGAATTGGTGGTGGAACCGAGAGGTAAATCGGTGGTTGAACTTTGAAATATCCGTTGGCTTGAGATAAATGTTTGGTCTAACCTTGACTTGAGGGAATAGGAATCCCCGCCTTATTTGCTATGTGAAATTCCATGTGTGTGGCGTATAGGTGTAGTGACGAGTAACTATGCGCCACTAAATTACCATTTTTAGCTTGTTCCCTTCCCCGTTTCCTATTATACTATTTCCTGTCTTAATTGCTGCTTGTTCATAATTGTTTCCATGTCTTAATTGCTACCTGTTCATAATTATTTTCATGTCTTAATTGCTACCTGTTCATAATTGTTTCCATGTCTAATTACTTCATATTAACTATTGCTCTCTTTATTGGAGTATTCAATTGTCTCATGGTTTCGTTTTATTACTCTGTTGGTCTTTATTGGTGCCTTATGGTACACCTTGGATGGTCTCGCTGAGTAGTTTACACTGGTGAAGTGTCATAATCGTAGTGATATTCCATTGTGTGGATTGCGGTGTAAGTATATTGGGGGATTTGAATTTACATGTGATATATATATATATNGTGTTTTGGGAGCGGATTGCACACTGCAACAAGGAGCAACAAGAGTGGAAAGGTAGGATCCGGTTGCATGCCGCAACAGGAGGAATAAAGGTGATATATATATTGAGGAGTAATAAGGATGGACAGGTGGGATCGGGTTGCATGCTGCAACAAGGAGGGATAAGGGTGAATATTGATTCTGTTATTGTTTATATGATGTGATCAAGATGTGCGTCGCATCAGTTGTCGTTATGTGTTCATATCTGTTGAGGTTCGTTATTGTGATGTTGAAACACCCCTAAGGATTGGTTATAACTGAATACTAGTAGAACAGTTGGGTTCAGACTTATTTAATGCCAGTTATTGCTTTATTACATTTTGTATTTCCTTTTCTGTTAGTATAAATTGTTGCATGTTGTATATGTTGTATGCCCCGCCGTAACCTCGTCACTATTTCGTCGAAGTTAGGCTCGGCACTTACCAGTACATGGGATTGGTTGTACTGATATTGCACTCTGCACCTCTTGTGCTGATTACAGAGCTAGTGGCTGACCAGAGTTCGAGGTTGTTGTCTTCAGTCCATAGGAGACCCAAGGTAGTCCTGCAGCCGTCCGCAGGCCTAGGCGTCCCCTTCTATCCTACTTTATCTCTATTTTATCTACTTTCTAGACAAATGTAAACTTTTCGTTCAGACTGTAATTGTAGTATTCATAGACTGTTTATGAGTTGTGACACTAGTTCTGGGTGGATTTTATTTTGGTTTTCCTTATTGCATAAAGTCAAGCTTTTAAACTGTTTTTCTCCCGCATTTATATCCGCTGGTTTTATTTGTTAAGTCTTAAATATTTGAAAGATAAAGGAAAAAGGTAATATATTCTGAAACATTGGCTTACCTAGACAATATAATGTTCGGCGCCATCACGGTCCCGACAGTGGGAAATTCGAGTCGTGACAATGTAGATAACAACAAGATCAAACAAGAATAATTATTGAAAATCCTTTCATCCAATTAATAAAACTAAGCACTTTCCTCATTTAAATTAGTGGCCTTTCCAGCAATAAGTCATATGAATTATAAGGGTTCTGGTTCTGTTATCACATACAAATACCCCCGAAGACGATCAACACGATCCACATTAAAGTAAAATGTGCACTACCGAGGATCAAACGACACGAACCATAGATGCACTTATTCACCCCGCTCGCGAATCCATGTGTCACACCTCTTTTTTTACCTGAAAGGGATATAAGGGAGTTTTTCCAATTAAAGTGACAATAACCGAAACGTGATTATTTATTCAAATTCAGAGTCGCCACCTGGGATAATTTATGGTGTCCCAAGTCACCGGTTTAAAATTCCAAATCGAGGAAGTTGACTCTTATTTATGGTCTGCAAACACAGAAATACGAGTAAGGATTTCTGTTAACCCGAGAGAAGGTGTTAGGTATTCCTAGGTTCCGTGATTTTAGCGTCGCTCTACTATTATTAGTTGGCCTAGTTAACTGATTAATTACATATTTAAAACCTATGTGCATTTTATTCCTTTAAACTGCTTTTAACATTTATGGATTTATTTTCGGAACAAGGCGCGATTGTCGTATACTTGTCGTTTTTGAACACATTGTGAATCGCGTCACATGGAATGCACTCGCGATTTACAACATGTTTATTTTTATCATTATCGAAGTTATGGCCGAGTAGCATAAAATGCCACCCGAATTTGGATTCATGTATCGCAACTATGCCACGGGAACCGTACCCATAGTCACGAGGATTTATTAATCGTGCCTAAAGCAAACTATGATGTTCATAATTTAATTGTTTCTTCCTAAAACTACTTTGAGATTATTGTAAGTCCATAGATTATGGAATTATTTGTGAAAAAAAAAAATCGTGACTTAGTTATTATTAGCAAGTCACAAGTTACAAATTAGCTATTGTATCAATTTTAATGCCCCCAAGGAAAGCAACTTAATTCCCAAAAATTACTTAAGATTTTCACAACTCATCATGAAATGAACGCCTAAAACGACTAAATGTTGAATCCCACTTTTGGAGCAATTAAATCATTTAACAATAATTCTACTCTAATATAAAAAAACGACTACACTAATGAATTCAAACATGCTTCCAACAATTGTTCAAATGGTTGATTCCCATGTTATCCTTCCCAAGAGTGGACGTCACCTTACCCAGCTTGTTACTCTAAAATTTTGCATCAACGTTTTAAGTCATTTTATTTCCCATATAATCTAATCAAGGCTCTTTCTTTTAAAAATAGCACCTTAACACTTAAATGCAAATGAGCTGCTTGTAATTTAACACCATTCATCTCGTATCTAAACTAACACAAATAAGCAGAAGCATTTTTTCACATTTCAATCTAGTATGAAGCTCAACAAAGAATTAATAATAAGCAATGCCAACACTAAATTATTGACATATCAATTAACATAAGCAAGATGAGAGTGGACCTCAAGATGCGATGCCATCTCGGTTACAACAATAATGGTATAGACAGAAATCAGAACCAGAAACCTCGAGCACCGAACGAACAGTCCCACCACCTCTTTGTCACTCAGATCCGAACAATCAAGACCTCAACATCAAAATTTTCACTCAACTTACCATATCTATCTTCCTCTAATTTTTGCTTCTTCTTTTTCTCTGTTCTCTTTGTTCTTTTTTTTTTGTTTTCTTTTGCGTTTGCCATCTTTTTTGTGAATAAGTCAGTTGTTCTTTTGATATTAGATATATCTTTATGGGAAGATAGAATTAGAAAGGGGATAGGAAAATGGCTATTTTTTTGGTGAAATTCAAGAACAAAGAATTAATCTGCCTCCTCCGTCTAGTTTTTGGTCTTTTGCGGTTGTCAGCTCTTAGCTTTTTCAATGGGAGGGGATCTAGAATTAGGTCTAGGTTCTAGGAAAGTCCCTTTTATAAAGAGAGGGAATTAGGGTGTATTTTAGAGATGAGGGGATATTGGGTTTTGGGTAGTGGGCTAGGCGAGTTGGGTTAAGTTTTGGGCCAATTTGGGCCATGACTTGGACATCTGGACCAAGCAAGATTTTAGTAGAAATAGTCCAAATTAAAACTTTTTTCCTTTGTAGTGATTTTAATTTTTTCTTTTATTGATTAATAGATGAAAATAAAAATACTACTCCTAGACTTGAATAGCAAGATAAAATACTAATCACTCAAAATTTACTTAACAAACTAATATATATTTTTGGAAAACCTTTTCTTTATTCGTAAATAAAGATAAAACTTATCTTAAAAAATGTGACTTTTTTTATTGTTTTTATTTTTCGTAAATAAAATATATATAAAGGAGAAATAAGAGCTAAAATATGTAGATTAAACTTAAAATATATTTACCTGCTAAAAGTGATGAAAAACTCAAAAATAATCAAAAATTAGGTGCTCACAACTGTCCCTCTTTGCTTTGAAATTTGAAGAGTTTTCAGGCAAAGACAAAGTGAGCCATGTGACTAACCTTTACCATATCGTTATTCAAAAGAGGAAGAAAATAAAAGAAAAAGGTGCAACCGAGTCCTGATGGAGAGTGATGGAAAAGGTGTGACTAATTATAAGGGAATCATGTCGCGTGTTGTTCAAAGAGAATGATAGAGTGATGAATTCGAGAGTCGAGTGAGGTTTCGTCGAGGCTTCGGTCGGCGGTCCTGTTATTACATCAAAATAAAAATTAAAAAGATTAACTAAGTCTATTAGCTACGAGTTACAAGATTACTATCTATGAGTCTTTTGAAACTTGATCTTGAGTCATGATTGTTTCTTCATGCGGACTCTGATCTGAATCTTGATGCTTATTAACTACAGGTGCTAGTTCATTCCTTTTTCAACTTGTCAGATCAAGGCGGGACATGCAAAGCTTTTGACTTCAATCACCTCTTGAGCAGTCCACATATTTTCTCCGCTTTTGCACTTTGAGTTCACTTCTTTTTGTTTTTCTTATTTTTTTATTCTGGATTGAGAATCGTTCTTTTGGTCGTCTCGAACCCTGTGCCTCAAGTTAAAACCTATTTAGATACCAAAACAAACAAACAAACGAAATTTTTCTGTCCTAATTTTCACTAGGAAAATTTCGTGAGTTATTATAACAAAATTCTAAACTACTTCTTTATTGAAAGCAATAAAAGTCAGGATTGTGTATCCTTGGGAAACAGATATTAGAGAATGGAGACCCTATATCTAAAATAAAATCAACTAGGGATTGGAGACTCTATTGTTGGAAAATTATCAACTAGGGAGTGGTGACCCTACGTTGGCATCAACTAGTGAGTGGTTACCCTATGTTGGCATCAGGTTATGCTGGCATCAACTAAGGAGTGGAGACCCTATGTTGGCATCAACTAGAGAGTGTTGACCCTATGTTGGCCCTATGTTGGCATCAGGTTATGCTGGCATCAACTAGGGAGTGGAAACCCTATGTTGGCATCAACTAGGGAGTGGAAACCCTATGTTGGCATCAACTAGGGAGTGGTGACCCTAATAGGGAATTGTGTACCCTATGCTAAAACAAACCAAGAAGGATTTTTTTTTTGGAAGAAAATCAATTTCATTTTTTTCCTTTTGAGAAAATTATTATTTTAATTAAACTACCCTAGTGCTTTTTTTTTTTTCAAAGGCATGAACAAATGACTCTTTTAAAAAAAAAATCGAGACATCCTCTTTTCTTTTTTTATTTTCCTATGAGAAAATTCATTAAACTAGGTTTTTATATCTAGGAGAAAAATTCATCAGACTAAGACATCTATCCTAGGAGAAAATTCATCAGACTAAGACATCTATCCTAGGAGAAAATTCATCAGACTAGGTTTTCTAATTTATTATATTAGGAGAAAGATTCATCAGACTAAGATTTTGATCCTAGGAAAAAGAATTCATCAGACTAGGTCTTCTATTTTAGGAGAATAATTCATCAGACTAAGATTTTGATCCTAGGAGAAAGTTCATCAAGCTAGGTCCTTTTTTTTTTGTTATCTTACGAGAAAGATTCATCAGACTAACACTGTGATCCAAGGAGAAAATTCATCAGACTAGGTCTTTTTTTTTGTATCTTAGGAGAAAGATTCATCAGACTAAGATTTCTGTCCTATGAGAAAATTCATCAGGCTAGGTTTCCTATCTTAGGAGAAAAATTCATCAGACTAAGATTATTATCCTAGGAGAAAATTCATCAGACTAGGTCTTCTATCTTAAGAGAAAGATTCATCGGGCTAAGATTTCGATCCTAGGAGAAAATTCATCAGGCTATGTCCTTTTTTAAATTATCTTAGGAGAAAGATTCATCAAACTAAGATTTCTATCCTAGGAGAAAATTCATGAGACTAGGTTTTTATTTGTTATCTTAGGAGAAAGGTTCATCTGACTAAGATTTCTATCCTAGGAGAAAATTCATCAGATTAGGTTTTGTTTTGTTATCTTAGGAGAAAGATTCATCAAACTAAGATTTCTATCCTAGGAGAAAATTCATCAGATTAGGTTTTGTTTTGTTATCTTAGGAGAAAGATTCATCAGACTAAGACGTTTATCTTAGGAGAAAATTTATCAAACTGGGTTTTCTTATCCTAGGATTAAGATTCATTAGCCTAAGATGTTTATCTTAGGAGAAAATTCATTAAACGAGATTTTATTATTATCTTAGGAGAAAGATTCATCAGACTAAGACTTCTATCCTAGGAGAACATTCTTCAAACTAGATTTTCTTATCTTAGGAGAAAGATTCATCATACTAAGACTTCTATTGTAACGGCCCGACCGGTCATTTTGACCTTTTGCACTTCGTTCGCTAGTTCTCGAGCATGACTAGTCCCGTGTGATGTATTTGGAAGAACAGTTCTCAGTTTGAAAGGTTTGACCAAGCTTTGACTTGTTAGTACATGATCTCAGATTGGAATTTTTATGATTTGGTTAGCTCCATTAGGTGATTTGGGACTTAGGAGTGTGATCGGAATGTGTTTTGGAGGTCCGGAGTAGATTTAGGCTTGAATTGGCGAAATTAGAATTTTGGCATTTTCCGGTTGATATGTGAGATTTTGATATAAAGGTCGGAATAAAATTCTGGAAGTTGTAGTAGGTCCGTTGTGTCATTTGGGATATGTGTACAAAATTACAGGTCATTCGGACGTGGTTTGATAAATTTTTTGATCGAAAACGGAATTTAGAAAATTTTGGAAGGCTTGAATCCAATGCAAATTTGGTGTTTTGATGTTGTTTTGATCGTTCCGAAGGTTGAAACAAGTTTGAATAATGTTATGGGTTATGTTGGCAAGTTTGGTTGAGGTCCCGAGGGCCTCAGGTGAGTTTTGAGTGGTTAAACGGACCATTTCAAGTTGTGAGAAATTGCAAAAATCTGTTGTTGAGTGTTGCAGACAGTTGGCCTTCGCATTCGTGAGTGGGCCCTTGCGTTCGCGAAGGATTGAGATGTGAGGCTAGAGATTTGGCCTTAACGTTCGCGAAGGGCTGGGGTCTTTGATCATCGCGTTCGCGAGGTAGCAGACGCGTTCGCGATGGTTTGAGCTAGGGAGTCATTGCGTTCATGAGGGGGTGTCGTGTTCACGTAAGAGGAATTTGTGGTCAACGTCAAGTTGTACTTTGTGAACGCGAGGCTTTGACAGTATTCGCGAAGAAGGACTTGAATGCCAGGGCAGAATGTTTACATAGCCATTGTCCGCGATTTTGGGTCCAACTTTCACCATTTTTGAGCGTTTTTGGAGCTTTTTGAGAAGAATTGAAGAGGGAATCAAAGGGAAACACTTGGAGGTAAGATTTATGGATTTAATACTCGATCCTAATGTGATTTCTACCTAATTAATCATGGAGTTTAAGCCTAATATTAAAGAACTAGGGATTGTAATTGGAGACCTAGAATTTGGGATTTGAGGGGTCGTTTGTGGTTGGATTTTGGTGCTTTTGGTATGAATAAACTCGGGGAGCGATAAGGAGTCTATTGATGTAATTTTTATCGGAATCTGAGACATGGTCCCGGGGGTCGGGTTTGGCAAATTTCTGGATTTGTGTTGTAATTTGATTTCTTTTTAGTGAGCCTTGTTCCCTTAGCATATGTTGATGGTTTTGCACTTTTTTTGGTTAGATTTGGAGCATCCGGAGGCCGATTCAAGAGGCAAGGGCATCACGGGCTAAAGTTCGGACCGGATAGAGGTGAGTAATGATTGTAAATGTTGTCTTGAGGGTATAAAACCCCGGATTTCACATCGTTATGCTATTTTGAGGTGACGCACATGCTAGATGACGAGCTTGGGGTCATGGACCGTTGGAGATTGTGACTTAGTCCATCCCGAATGACTGTTTTACCGCGTATTCGATTGAAGACTGTTTGCTATCATCATGTTTTAGGCTGAATGCCATATTTGGGCCTCATGCCAACTATTTGGACCCTTATGGGATTTTTACTGATATTTTCTCACTATTTGATTTTATATCTGTACACATGCATGCTATATTATACTGTTTTGACAACTCAGACATGTTTACTCTGTTTTAAACACTTTAAATGATATTTTGGGCTGAGCATCATATTTTACTGTGCCTGAGTGGCTTTTAGAGATTTCTGACTGAGCATGGCCGATGGACTGTGTTGTGAGGATTATTATGGGATCGGGCTGCACGCCGCAACATTGTTGTACTGATTATGATTATAAGGCCGAGGGCCTGAGTTGTACGCCACAAGATGGCTTGATATGAGGCCGAGAGCTTATTGATTATGCCACGAGATAGCTTGATATTGAACTTGGGTCGTAAGGGACCCCTCCCGAAGTCTGTACACCCCCAATGATCGCGGGTACCTAGTGTGATATGTGATATAGCCCGAGAGGCTGGTGTTGTTCCATGTTATTGCCCGAGGGGCTGATTCTATTGGCATTGTGCCTG